GCTTTCGAAATTAATTGACAAGGCAATTGTCTGCCTTATGTGCGTGCATGAAAAAGACTTAGGTTGAAAATGAAAGCGGAATCAATCTGTATTGTGAAGCAGATATGAGGAGACGTACAAGCTGAACCACCCTGACTCGTCTTGCGTAAGTATGTGTGGCTATATACACATTAGTTACATACTTGACACCGTTGAGTAAATCGTCATGGTCGATACTGTATTCGAATGTGGGATATGATTCCCCTATGAGGTTTTCGATATTCCTCCTGGACTCTGTTTTGAAAAAACTGGGCATGTCGGTGGTATGAATTAAATAGAATCAATCCCTAGGTCTATCCTATCAAGTGATTATATAGTGTTTGTGTATGTATCTAAAGTCAAACTATTAAGATGTCTGAAGAGGGTCGTGAGTCTTGCCTAATAATCTCTCGTCGAGTAGCCTTTTGTGAAATAGACATTCAATTGATTTTCTATCAACTCCTACGTTTGTTGTTAAATAAATAACATTCTATTTTAAAAATGGTATGTTATTTACATACTCTTTATTTATTTTCAAGCACGCTCGATGGCGACGAATACTATAGCTATAAAAAGCTTGGAGTGAGAACACTTCTGCCAGCGTATATGTGGACAACTGGGCGTTGGTAACTTGTTGGTATCACAGTGTCACCGCCACGGGCCACGTCTCACGGGCTCACACTTCACACTTCACAATTCACAGCCTCATAAATATATGATTTCTGATTTTCTGTCGTCATGTTTTGGTACTCCTTTTAGCTATATCTGTGTTCTTATTGGCTTTTTTTCACATTGGCCCTACATCTATTTTTACTGACCCCTTTCTTTCCAACGAGAAGAGGGGGCCCAGGTCCCAGGGGGACCTCAAAACGTTGTATTTACGTAGTAAAAAAACGGTTTTCTGGGGATATTTGTAGGACATAGCCATAGCCTTCTGAAAATTAGACAACATACACAGCCTTCTTTTGAAAAAAAAATTACTTAGCAAGGTGTAGGATCTCTGCTAAATAAATTCACGATTTCTGCTATTTAATTATGTTTTTTTGCCCTCTACTAGTAAATAGTAGTAGTCCTCTAGTAGTCCTCTACTATTTAGTAAAATTGTCTCTCAAATGATGTGATTGACATCCTGGGCCCTGGGCCTGGGCCCCTGGGGGGAGATTCCATTTTTCATCCAGCGACAACATCCGGCCATGTACTTTACATATTAAAATCATAGCCCTCTAAAGAGACACGTTAATTTACACACGCGAGCTACATACGTCTCTATGTACGTCCTAAGAGGCTACGACCTTGATTTCCCCTGAGTTGAGACCCTATAAAAGAGGTTAAATATAAATCTCCCGTTGGCCATGAAAAATATCTATTGACGTGTCCTTCGGTCGATATTTTTTTTTAAAAGTTAAAATAAATAGGTCCAGGTTCCCCCGTTCCCGTTTCCAAACTCACCAAAGGTAACAGCCGTATATAAGAACCGAGAAAAAAATATTCGTTTACGTTCAACTTTTATTTATTAACGTTCGCACATGAGTGTTCTATTTTTAGAATTTCCAAAAAAAAAATACAGCTGTATTTTTATTCCTCAATGTATTCAACGTTAAACGTAAACGTGTGAAAAAGTTTTGAATTTATACGTTTTAACGTAACAATATATATGCTGCTCACTTGAGAACTAAAAACGACTGAAAACGTTTTAACGAGAAACGCACCGTTGAGGTTAGTACTGATTTCTTACTGATTGACAGATTGAGCCGATATGCACGTGCTGTCACGCTGATCGATCAAATATGATAAAAGTTTTGTGATATTTTAGTCTACATATTGCTTTTGCTTTTTCTTAGACCCAGAGATATACTTGTACTATAGTTTCTACTTTAGCGCAGGCGATTTATTTGTATAGTT